CGAGGGGCTGGCTCGCCCCACCGCCAGACGAGGCACTGCCGAGGGAAGGCAGGAGCTGCCCGCCCCACTCTGGGGCTACGCTCGCCCCTCGTGTGTCCTTAGAGCCTTTGCTCTGCCTCCGCGGGCTGCGCTGGCTGGGGAGACCCACGGCAAGAGGGGGGCAGCCCCGGCTGGGATGTCCAGGCCCCCACTCCATCGGCTGAGCGCTGGAAGGAGTTAACTCGGAGCATGAGGCCTAAGCGGGGTGTCACTGAGGATGGGAAAGACCTTTAAGGGCACCGAGTCCTACTAGAATCTTTGGAAATCCCATTTTTCCATCTCCGAGAGCCCCGCATTTGAAACACCAGCCTAAATGAGATCACCTCCCTGGCATAGCTCAACCCCTGCACCACCAGGCCACGGAAAGAGGGGGCCAGCCCCGGCTGGGATGTCCAGGCCCCCACTCCATCGGCTGAGCGCTGGAAGGAATTAACTCGGAGCATGAGGCCTAATCCGGGTGTGACTGAGATGGGAAAGACCTTTACGGGCACCAAGTCCTACTAGAATTTTTGGAAATCCCATTTTTCCAGCTCCGAGAGCCCCGCGTTTGAAACATCAGCCTAAATGAGATCACCTCCCTGGCATAGCTCAACCCCTGCACCACCAGGCCTGCTCCCAAATGGCCAGCATATCCACCCCCTCCATGGGAAAGCACACAAGGAACTGGGCTGTGGAAGCAGGAATTTGGGTGCTGAGAAGAGGGAATTTCTGTGCTGACAACCCAGAGAGCTCAGCACATTCGCTCCCTATGAGGAGAGGACATGGAGCACTGACATTGAGCACTTGGGGCTCCCTCCTGGGCATACTCAGCCCTCCTCCGACCACTGCCAGAGGGGACAGGGAATGGGGCGGATGCTCTGGGGGCTGGAGATCCTGGTGGAATGCAAAAAGGTGGAAAAGCAACCCCATTGCCAGCCGCCAACCCAGCACGAACGGAGCCTACACAGGGACACCAGCGTCTCGTAGTTGCCCTCCATGACGTTCCGGTACAGCTCCTTCTGCCCATCGTCCAGGATGGCCCACTCCTGCTGGCTGAAGCGCACCACGATGTCCTCCAACGTCACCGGTACCTGGGAGCAGGGGGGTGGGGTGGTAGGAAGGGAGCAGCTCCCCCTGCAACCAGCTCCCAGCCCTGCAGACACCAACCCCAACCCTACAACCACCCCAAAAGCAACCCC